GGCGGTGCGGTTGGCGCAGGATAGAGCAGGGTTTAGAGCTGTTGTGCATAGGGTCGCTATGAGTCGGAAACGACTCGATGGCACATAACAACATTAAACTTTGCCACTCTTACTGGAGCGAGATGGTACCCCATTGTGGTTTTAATTTGCATATCTCTTATTGCCAGTGATTTGGAGCACTTCATGTTTCTATTTGCCATTCAAATAAAATGCTCTTTTAACAAGTCTTAGGATTAATATCCTTTGTTGTTGCTCTGTGCCCCTGATTGTGACTCAAAGTGATTCCATAAGACAGAGTACAACTACCACACAGGGTTTCCAGGGCTGAAATCCCTGTGGGAACAGGTGATTATCAAGTCTTCTTTAACCCAGAATTACCTGTGCGTTCAAACTGCAAATCTTCCTGTTAGCAGCTAAGCACTTAAGCATTGTGCTACTGAGCTCTTTTAAAATGTACTTAACACTTACAAAAGATATTTTAAAATCAGTAATAAAAACAGTTACTTGAAATTATAAAGATACTTACTGCACTCCAAAATCTAGAACTGATGGCTGAAAATGCAAGCCCTTTCCACTGAAGAGTTTGTCTGAGAAGCTAAAAAAGAAAAGAAAACAGACTTTGATTTTATTGCAGTTGTAAAAAAAGTGGAGGGTGAGTTATAACAACACATGGCTGGCTGTCTATGCATGAGATTTTACTCCTTTGCAGGTGAGTTTGAAGTAGCTTTTAAATGTTAAAATTGAATGACTAAAAGTCTAACTAAATTTCAGAGTTGTAAGATTTTTAAGATCTTCTGAGATTTCATTCACATAACTTCCTATCAAATGTTCATATTCTGTCAGCATTTAAACAGAAATGGACATAGGTTCATTTTCAGCGGGTTTCATTTTTTTATGATTTAACATATGACAATGTTCATTAAACTATAATCAAGAATAGACAGACAAGTAAGACAGATCATGTATTGGAGGGTGTTTTTTGAGGGGAGCTGGAAGAGGGATGTAACTTTAACTCTATTAGACTTAGAACTGAGTAAGGGAGGGGCTGCACAGTCAGGGGAGCTGAAGAACATAGTATCTATCACCGTGTGTCTATTTTGAAGTATAATGATAACATAAAATCTCATGCAGCAGGAAACAAGTGCTAAAAATCATGATTATAATTTCATTTTCCTTTACAATCAAAAGTTACAAATCAACACAACAGAAAAGCACACAAAATATACAGACACAGAGAATATAAAAAGTAAAGTAAAAGCACTACTAATAAAAAAGCCAAATATACTTAAGGACACAAAATTCAATGTATACACATGCATAAACACATACATATATATAAAGCCAGAAAGTTATCAAATACTGTAACATTCTAGAAGATGTTAACTTGTCAAATTTTTTAAAAAAAGTTTCACTGAAAGACGCTCCTAAATTAAACTTTCCCCTCATCTGCCCCCCATTTTCCAACCACCAAATAACTCTTAACCAAGAGTGGCTCAGAAATGAACCCAGAAGACCCCTGAGCTGAAAACCTACTGGTCAATATATTTTGTGACCATTAAAAGTCTGTTCCAAGGTCTCAATTTTGTTTCTTTAAGGTGTGGACAAGGTAGAGACCAGTTTTCATCTTACAAGAACACATGATCCAGTCTTGTCTTCCTCCACTTTTCTACCTTCTTTCTATTCTCCAGTAATTTTTATCTGAATCCTTCTTATCCTTCCCCTATTAATAACAATGTTGTTGAATGCCATCAAGTTGAGCACGACTCATAGCATCTCTATGAACAAAAGGCCTGAAGCCTTTCTATAACTATCGACATTTA